GAGAAACATAAAGCAATAGAAAACTAACATAATTCTCACATTCAAGAAACTCATAAAATATAACTTACCATAAAGCAGTATAATTAATTCCGCTTCACATCACTTGTACGGTCGATTTTTCAACCAATTAACATAGAATTCCAGAAACCTATTAACAAATTCTTCAATATATAATACGAGATAAATAATTTTAAAGGAGTATAAAAGGGAACAAAATATGAATAATGCTACCAGAATTTATCGGGAAAATTGAGTTTGGTTGAGATGGAGGCAAATGGTTTCCATGAATCTGACAAAAACACCCCAACGTAACCAGTCATTTTTTGAATTTTGGGTCGTTTCTTTCAATTTGACGCACAGATTATTAGCAAAGAAATTAATCAATTATAGAAGAAAGTAGAGAAAAAATTTACCAAGAAGAGGAGGATGCAAAGACAGTGTAGAATAAAACGCCGCTTGTTTGATTCAAGCTCACCCGGAAAAACTCACAACAAAGGGATACGGTATAATAGCTGCAACAAATAACAAAAGATACAGACCCAGAGAACACCAAGCAAGAACAGTGTTCTGGCCAGAGTTACTTTAAGATGGAAAGGAAGTTGGAAAAAGATTTGCATGCATTTGGTGATTTAATTTCTAAAGTTCAACAGCTCTAAGGAATGAAATCTAAAATAATAAGATTTAAACAATTTTTATGGGAGGGGAAAAATATAATGAAAACTTGCCTTATATTAACCGTAACAAATCCAGTCGCTGGAACCTAAGGGGAGAAGGAAATGCTTCAAGTGGATCTCCCATTCGTTTTGTAAACGCTCGCAGAGGGATAAAAAGCTAGCCTTCTATAGGAAATTCACAACGGAGAAGTATCAAAAAGATATAAACCTGTCATTTTTGCTTATTTACTCATAAATAGCATTACTTTTTTTAAATGCATTTTAGACTAATTATGTAACAAGTAGCTTCACATATTTGCCTCATGAAAAAGATTTCAATAAGATACATTCTTTCCCTAAATAGCACACGCCAGCATGCTCATAGATGAGATTCCTAAGAAACAACATTTCTTCTACC